GGAGGCAGCAAACCACATTGCCATGTTGGTACCTATGCGACAATCCTCTATGTTCTGCACATGTACCCCAGAACCTAAAGTGCAATTATACATATCTATATAACAGATCTGTTAAATACAGAAAATGTTTTTGAGCACCTACTATGTGTAAGACAGTGTCATTAGAATATTAAAAATAATTATGAGAATTAACTTATCACCTGATTTTTATAAATAATTAGCCATGCACTGGACCATAAAAAAAGAAAATAAGGAAGAAAAGAAAGAAGAAAAGGGAAGAGGGAGATACTTATTTTCTTTCTTCAGTTAGGGCCACAGAATTACAGTGTCAATATCCAATATATACAGTCAAAAATATTTTTAGCTCTCAACTGTTCTGACCATTTATTGCCAAACAGAAACTATCAAGATTAAAAGCATTTTCAACTTTATCTTACTATATGATGAGTCTGTCAGGTGCTCAAAACATATTATGTAAGACAAATGAAAATCCAGATGTTACCCAGATACGGGAAAGATGACAGTCATATGGTATGATGCAAGAGGAAAGTGCACATAAATCTGCCTACCTCTCTGCTTATCATTTCCATGTTATACTTCTATTCCTTTCAAGTCTTAAATCTCCATTTAAGAGTAGGGTTTTTTTTTCCTAAAACAGATTACACCTTAAACTTAGAAGTGTCATTTTTATATAATACTTATCACCTTAACTAGGAAATTATTAGCCAATCAAAACACAGAATTTGACATAAATTCGTTCTTAGGGAAAGGTGCCTGTCTGATTTGAACTCACCTCATAATAGTTCATCTGATAGAATGGGCTGTAGGGATAGAAAAAGAACTGATATATCTCATTGGAAAAACACTAGCAAGTGAAGATTTTTGCACACAAGTCAGCAAGTAGAGGTGTGGATTTCCTGTGGAAACTGGTGAGATTTCTATCAGCCAACTTACCCACTCTCTGAAGGGCTCTGTTCTAGTGGTGCTGCAGTTTTCTTATTAGGATCTTACCCTGAATGATGACAGGCTGTCTTAGCATTTACTTGCAAGTATTCACTTAAAGGTACTTCTCCATATTGTATCCTAGAGTTAAAAATATAACAAAATAACACAAAACAATGAAAAAAACTCCACTAAATAGCATCTTCAATAAAGCCCTATTCAGAGACAGTCATAGATTCAAGATGCCAACCAAGACACATGTTTGCTTTTTCTTGGCTATAAGAGCTCAGTTTGGGCCAGGCATGCAGGTTTATGCCTTGAATTCCACCACTCTGAAAGGCTGAAGCAGGAGAATCCTTTGAGCCATAAGTTCAAGACCACCCTGGGCAATATAGGGACACCCCATCTTTACAAAAAATAAAAATAAACTTAGCCTGGCATGGTGGCACATACCTGTGATCCCAGCTACACAGGAGGCTGAGGTGAGTGGATTCATTGCTTGAACCCAGGAGGTTAAGGCTACAGTGAGTCGTGGATTACGCCACTCACTGCACAACCTGAGTGACAAAGCAAGACCCTATCTAAAAAAAAGAACTCAATTTTTTCGTTTTATGATATTCTAAATTTATATTGATATTTCCTATAATGGCACTATATTTTCAAATAGAATTCATATTCAGGGGAACTGGAATCACAAGACAACTGTGCAAGAGAAAACAATCTCATCCAGAGAGTTTAAATGTGCTTCTTGATTAGTTAGCTTGGCTAACATGATCCATCCATTCATCAACCAAGAAAATGTATGGAGTACCACACTCTTCTACAGGATAAAAATGAGAAGTATAAGAGATTTTTCTCAGAATCTGTGAGGACAGAACATGATTCTGGGGCCTTGTATGCTTTTCTTCATGTTCTTATTGTTCTCTCTCCTCCTGGGCTCATGGTGGAATTGTTCTTCTTGAGACTTTGTCAGGTGTAGTCATGTGTCTAGTTCTGCTTGAGAGCCTGTCAGTGGAAGTGAGATGTTTGATTGCTCATTTTAGACTCTGCAGTCTTCTCTCCCTTTCCTTCTATAATGGCAGTGGCAATATTGTAGATAGTAGCTGATCTCTTAGACAGGGTACCAGAATGTGGACAAAGCAGAGAAAGAGCATTTTACTCTTATTGAATGAAGGTAGATTAAGAGCAAAAAACAGGTTGTGTTGTTTCAAAACGTGGAGATGTTTGTTACTGTAGAATAACTTGGTCTCTGTTGACTAACAGACATGATCAACATCTAGACATCTCTAAGCAGAAAGCAATTACTTGTACTTATAATAGATTTATTACGTACACACACACACAGACACACACACATACACACACCTTGAAATTTTGTTTACTATGCTAAACATAAATTAAACTTAAACTAAAACCCTGTGCTTTTCAGGTTTTCTGGGCCAGACATCTGGTAAGAGTATATTTTTATAAATTACCAGAAATAATAAAACATATCAACACTATTCGTGTCCTAGTGCCATCATAACAAATTACCACCAACTGAGTAGCTTCAGGCAACAGAAATTTATTCTTTCACAGTTATGGAGGCTAGCAGTCCAAAATTGAGGTATCAGCAAGGTCATAATCACTCTTAACATTCTAGAGAAAATCCTTCCTTGTTTCTTTCCAGCTTCCATTGTCTTCGTAATACTTTGTGTTTCCTGGCTTGTAGATGCATAACTCCAATCTCCACTTGCATCTATATATAAGCTTCTTTTCTTCACACCTTTATGTCACCTTCTTACAAGGGTGAAAGTCATCGAATTTAGGGTGAACCACATTCTGAGGTTCCAAGTGGACATGAATTTTTTAGTGGGGGACAGTATCCAAGCCAGCGATGCCTTGTATACTGTTTTCTGTTGCAAATGTGCTCTATATAATAATGTGATCAATGTCACAAATATCAGACAATTATGTCATCAGGTTTAGCTTCTGCTCTTTTTTATTGCTAATAATCTCTATAGCTTAGAAAAAATAAAGAAAAAAGACAAATTTTTATTAATCTTTGGCTTCTCCATAGTTAGATATGAAATAATATGAAATACATGTTTGCTAAATGAGGAAACTGATTAAATATATTTTTTATTCTCAAGTGGCAACTAGCTAAGACTGAATCCATAATTTTTTTAATATAACTCTGCTGCTGTCCAGATGATTGGCATGCTTGTAAATAGAACCCAAGGCTGTTTATTTTAGTTTCATTTTGTATTTTACCATGTATGTCATATTGTTTTTCTTTTTTGTGGCAAGTAGGCATGTAGTTCAGGAGAGTCTAAAAAACCCTGTTTTGAGGATTATGAATATCCACTGCATCAGCATCATAATAATATAGAAATTGAGTATCTACTTTGTGTCCATGATGATAAATCAGAAAGTGAATAATTCGAATCCATTTTCAGAAATTAACAACCAGGTTGCTTTAGGTCATTTAGAAGCACACAGACATAGTTTTGAAGGTGATAGATGCACAGAATATAGCCTATTTAGATTATCTTTGTTCTGAAATTAATGTATAGGTTTAGCATTACCAAACAAGCTTAATTATAATTACAGATAACTAATTAGTACCTGCATTAATGTATTGAATTGTCTGAAAAAGGTAAGTTCAAAAAACTTAATGCTGGCCAGATGAGGTGGCTCATGCCTGTAATCCTCGCACTTTGGGAGGCTGAGGCAGGCAATCACCTGAGGTCAGGAATTTGAGACCACTCTGGGCAACATGGCGAAACCCAATCTCTACTAAAAATACAAAATACAAAAATTAGTTGGGTCAGGTGTGGTGGCAGACACCTGTAGTCCCATCTACTCAGGAGACTGAGGCAGAAGAATCGCTGGAACTGGGGAGGTGGAGGTTGCAATGAGCCAAGATAATGTCTCTGCACTCCAGCCTGGGTGACAGAGCAAGACTTCGTTTCAGGAAAAAAAAAATAGTGCGTTAGCTCCAATAGCTTATTTGACTTAGATCCTGAAGTAATGAGACTCAATGGTGAATGAATTTTGGAGGGAAGACAGGTGTGAACATAATGTTCTTTTTGGTTATTAGAATTCAGTTATTTAGAAATCTTGGTTATCAGTAAATGATAGTTTAGAGACAAAGGAGCTTAGTCAAGGTACGTGAAGGAAAGAGCTCTATGTCCCTGATTGAAATTTCATCTTTATCACTGTTTTGCTAAGGGATGTCCTTAAAAGCTTCATAAGTCTTGGTCTCTGTGAATATTATTTATTGTTTACAATAGTATCATGTTGCACTCTTATTTAGCATGGCACATCAGAGTCTATGATGAATTTTTTTCTCCCTTAAATCCCTGCAGAGCACAATGATAGAGACATAATGCATCTGCATACACATGCAAGGTAGTTTGAATTTAATGCATTTCATATCATTAAAGTTAACATTTCATGTATTATATTTCCTTTTAGAATACACTTGCATACATCCATATCCATATAGATATATGCATGCACACACACAAAATCCCATTATGTAGATCAATTTACATGATCACAATGTTCATATCCATAAAGCAGTGAACTTCCCAAATCAGATGCATACATAAAAGCATTGATGCATAAAATTTCCATCTTGCAAGTACAGAGAAAGTTCTCGTAGGCATTTAGTGCCATGACAGGTCACTTAGGTTACAACTAGCTATATAGGACATGCTAATAAGATTTAACCTTCTTTGTCTGTTGCTCAAGAGAGGGAAAGAGCAGAGGGGTGAGACCTTCCTACCTTTGAAGATATCAAAGAAAATTAAAAACAACCACTTTCCCTCTGATCCCTGTGGCTGAATGTTTCTGAGCTGCATAAATTACACACAAAAAGAACATATTTTTAGGGGGACATTGTGTGCTTTTAATACACTCTCTACTGATCATAGCATAAGTGAAATGGATAAAACATAATTTGATGGAGTGTGTGTACAGAATTATTTCCATAGTTATACTTGATGTGACTCTTCATGTAAAGCAAATGCTACCGAGATTAATATTTAAAATGGAAAGCTAAAAACTCAAAGTGCCATATGACAACACTTAAGTGAAAATTTATTAGACTTGTCATTTCTGTTAATTATTGTCATTCCACCTAATTAATATCCATTCCTGTTGGTTATTAGACGTGTCGTTTCCCCGTCTGAGCTGCCATCTACAGTCACTGATTCCGGTTTCATTGCGTACCCTCAGGCAATGGGTCAGTGGCAACCCAGTGGATCCTCACAGCAGAAGAACTATTCTTCATTCTGCCAAAAGACAGAAAGATTAGCAAAGAAATCATTAATAATGTTTGTCTTTATTTTCTAGGGTGAGAGTGAAGTGGCATTATTTTGTTATAAACAAAAACAAAAAAAGCAAAAGGGATTGTCTATGGGCTAGAGGTAATCTATGAAGAGTTAGTCTACAGCTTAATTAAACTCCAGAAATCTCATGAACTCAGCAACATTCACTTCCCCAGAGTCCTGCAATCTATACTGGACAATGGACTGAGAGGTGTTGTCTGTAGGGTAGCTTAGGAACAGCAACAGAAGGCTGATTTTCTTTAAAAAGTTCTCCCTGTCTGAAATTCTCTCCATCGATCTTGGAGTACTGGGCGTATGTGTGTCTATGCATATTTATTTTCCCTCCAGGGAGTCCTGAAGTATAATCTGATGGTGACAATAAAGAGATTAGGAATTGTATCAATAAAATACATTTTAAGTATCACAAGAAAGAAAACAAGGAATGCAGATGCTGTATTTAAAAGAAATATCAATACACTTAAGCATCCCTAAGCAAGGAATATGGACACTAGATTTTGTTATCTTTAGGGTTTGATATGGAATCATGGCATGGTCCACATGAATACCAGGCTGTGATAGTCATAAAGAATATTTATGGCAAGGTTATTGGATAGCTGGATAAATGCCTTCTCATTATACTTTGGTTTTATATGTAATTAAAGTAAAATAGAAAATTGAAAAATTATTTTAGAGTCTATTTAGTAGAAGTAGCGAAATTCATCAAATAAATTACTTTTTCTATGGAGCTTTTTCTCCAGGATAATCAAAATACCCTATTATTCACTTACTTCAATTTGCCACTTTAGCCTCAGAATTCCACGCTTCCTCCCAAGTCTTCAAAGCTCATAACAAAGTTATTTTCAAATATACCTATTCATACTTATATCATTGGCTTTTCCTCCACATATTGGCCTAAAGCAGTCATTCTGCATCCCTCTGAAATGTCTATTCCATGTTAGTGAGGTGTTGTATTCTGGTCAAGAGGATTATTCATAGTCAGAGTTGAAGATTATCTACCATAGCTAATGCAACAAAGAGAAGGGAGGGCAAGAGAGTGTCTACTATCCAGCATAGTCTACGATACACCCAGAGGTTCTAAACACATGCATGGCATTGTCAGCCTTTACAAGATGCTTCTTAGGGGCAGTAGGAGTAGAACAAAAATGAAATTCCTATAGCATAGAAAACACATCCAAGTATTCATTGGTCTAAAACTAGACAATTCAGAAACTATCTTGTCTAAATAAGTGTCAGTCCACTACTGTCAGCTTAGCAGCTGAAATGTCTTATAGAAGGCTAACAGAGTAGATAGGCGTTTGTTCATTAAACAGCTGAATTTGGTCTACGTTTAATATCCGTAGACTGTCAGAACTTAAGTATTGAGTTGGACACACCATCAACCTGTGCCTTCTGTGAGGTTAGTAAACCAAGACCAGTCTAACAGAATTGTGTTAGACTTCAGAATAAGATTTCTAGGGTCTGAAGCAAATAAATCAAATGCAGATACAATTTTTTATAAAAGGTGAAAGAACATATACTATAGATGGTAGAACCTATAAATTAGTGATCAAGTCAACAGTTTACACCTAAATTACAAGTTAGTGCAATCATTAGAATACACAGATTTTCTGTTCTGCTCTGTATGGACAAAGCAAAGGGAATGGAAAGGATGGAAAATGATTCCAATCTCTCCTAAATATAATTCTTAGATGCATTGGGACCTCCTTTCTAATCTGTCACAAGAAACCAGAAGAAACATTGAGGCAAAAGTGGGAGAATTTTCTTTCTATATGAAAATAGCCACTAGACACAATTGAGCTTTTTGTTACATGTGCAGTTTCCCCCTCAAGCCTGAGAACTTTGTTTCTATTTTCCTACAAAAAACTGGCAATAGGATACAGGTGTTTGCCTGGAGCAAACATGGGACAAATTGGAATGGGAATAGAAAAATAGCTTACTGCACGTGAGTATGCATGTGTGCTTCACCACAATCAATCACATTTTTTTCTGACATTGCTTCATTTATGGATTATTGCAAAAACACAAACAGAATGTGAAAAGATAATGTTGTAAAGCCACGGGAATGAAATTGGTGGGAGGAGCCCCTTTCTTACTGTGTTCTGGAGCACTTCTGCACTCAGAATCCCAGCATTGTTTAAACCACCATTCTGTATAAGAAAGCTAATCAAATGACACTCAGGAAAATTGACTTGGGTTTTCAATCTAGTTTTAGATCTCTAGTGTACTTATTTCAAATGGTATTTGTTATTCTCTGCATATCCTTAGGAACATGCCCTGTCAAGAAATGCCATACAACTTCAAACCATGTTTTTTCCCACCTCTATAACTTTTTATGTATTCCCTTTTTACATTTTATTACAGCATAACATCTAAAAATGAAATAAAGATTATAGGCAAAGCTTCAGGACCTTGAGTTCTATGCCTTGCCCTGAATATAAAACTGTGTTGATAGGAACCACGGTTATACCTCTATAAATTGTTCAAATCTCCCCACTGACCATCACTGTAATTATTTCTGCTTGGAAATAAAGGTTTGATGGGCAGAGAGATTATTTTTTATGTCCATTTTTTCTTCTGTTTACCTGAAGTACATATTTCCACTTGGTGGTGGATTCTGGAGATATAATTTATACATATATCTGTGAGGCAAGTAATCAAACAAAAATGAAGAGAAAATAAAAAATCAATTTCAATAAGTTTTTTAAGTTAAAAGTGAGAATTTGCCCTACTTCATCATATTTTAATATCATATTAGTTGCGTTAATTGTACTTTCTGAAATTATATAATATAAGGAATGGTTGGTGAAGGGAAGGAGTAAAGGAGGAAGGAAGGAAAGGATAGAAAGAGAAGGAAAGCTCAAAGTAGAAGTAAATTTTATAGAGACAAAGCAAGTTCATCCAAAAATTTCTGTATTAATACAAAAGATGCTGTGTTCAGCTGACCTTAAAGGCATTGAGTTTGTGATACTTTGAAAAAATAAAAACACCTGTAGTTCATTTCCTATAGATTTCAAATGTCTATGCTCCGTACCTTCTCCATTCTATTGACTCTCCTGTAACTTTTCAATATAATTCTCATTCTTTTCCTCTGACTCAAAGCTAATGTAGGACTGATTAGTTCCTGTGTTCACTTGGAACACATTCTTCCCCTCTGACTCTATGACTTGGTTTTTCTCTACAATTTATGGGAAAACAGCAAATATGACAAAATGAGACCACAGGCCATTGTTGCAGGGTGGGAGTAGCAGTGTAGGTAGGGAAGGGAAGAAATATGAATTCTGTCTCTCGCAGATAGCTTCTATGCTGCTTTCCTCCTCTGTCCATTGTAAGTCAGACTCAGTCATCCCTAAGGATTATTAGGTAGGTCAAAATAAGTCAGAAGTGACTCTCCTTTAAGTAAGAAGGTACTCAAAAAGTATTAGGGAAAAATAATTTTAATTTATAACAAAATAAAAGTCATGACTAATAGTAAATCAGGACAAGAGGCTGAAATAGAGGAAGTTAGAGAGTATCAAAAATGGTTTATTTTTGAGTGGTGCAGATCATTTTTTTACATACACATTTCCAAAAGTCTAAAAGTCTCTGTTTATGATCTTTTTTATTCTCTTTTCTCTCTGTGTGTGTCTCAGTCTCAGTCTCTCTCTCTGTCCTTCTTACCTTATTTCTTTCCTTTCTTCCTTTGTTTCTTTTCTTTTCCTTTATTTCAGCTGGGTTTAAGGAGACCCACTAAAGCCTGGTGACCTCAGCATACGTTTCCTAGAAAGAAGACCCCTCTGGGTATGGAGGTCCCACACTAATGAGACAAAGTCTGGAGAAGGGAAACTGTTTGCTCCAAGCATCCAAATCCCAGGGGACTGTAGGAATAAAAGGTTGCCACAATCTTTCCTGTTTTTTAAAGAAAATCTGAATGGAAAGATGCTAACCATGCTCCCAGAAGATGTGCTTGCCCTGGACCTGAGAATACAGAGAGTTTTCTCATTAGTACAGCATCTGGTGAAAGTCTATACCTGGCACACATATCTTACCTTGATGTATATGACTGCAAAGCTTTTGAGACTGTGTCCACACCTGCCAATTTAGCTAGTGGAGATGAAAACAAAAGACTCAGCTACTTCGTAGGATCATTGGATTTAGTTGCCTTTCTGCCCATTTACAGATGAGGAAACTAAGGCTGTGAAAAGCGAGCCAACTTGCACAAAGCCACAACTCGTTGGAGGCAGAACTGACACTAGAATCTTTCTGTCTACAGACCAGAATGAGTAACACTGTCATTATGAAAGCAGAACTCATCTCACTGGATGTACACTTCAGATTATTCCCTTAACAGGCATTTATAGAACAGCATTTATTACCAGTGAGAGGACCCTAGGCTCATTAGTCCAACAGAATGGCCCAGTTCAAACTTACTATGGGTATTCAAAGTCACCCCTAGTTTTAGAAAACCAAGAATGTTTTTGCAATGACCAGAGCTCTAAAAAGCATCTGAGATAAAAGCAAAAACACTTAACTTGAAAGGAGGAAAATGGTGCAATGGAAATCGTTCATGTGAAATGAAGAAAGAGTACCTGCCAGCACGCTGATTTCCCCATGCTTTAGTTGACTTCAGGTTTAAGAATTGTTTTTGATATGCATATCACTGCTTCTTGTTCGAGTTAATTTGTTTAAACATTCATGAAGGAGAAGGTTTTTTAATAGAAATGTGCCAAATGTTTTTTTCAATTACAGACAAACTGGGGTGTTTGCTGATCCATGAACAATGTGAATATTCAGTTGTGGAGAGTTTTACTGCCTAGTAACAAAGTTTTTATTTTTACCCTCTCTGTTAAATGCCGGAATCTGTAAGGAAAATGATAGAACACCGCTTTAGCATCAGCTTCCTCACAAATGATTTGTTTTGAGTAAGGCAGCGGCTTGACGGTAGCTTTGTCAGGATTGAAAACAAA